TTCATGGCATAAAAGCAGTTGGTCAAATCCTCCATTAGGACGGATGAATTACACCCATTGATGATCAGGCCCAATAGCTTTGGGATCAGTCCCCAGTTCCTTTTCCCCATTAAACACTGTCCTGAGTGCACTGGTATGAATGGCTGGGCTGCATCCATCCATTTAGACCATGGGTCAGCAACATTTTCTAATGGTGGGCTGAGGTCCCAGGCAGAGTGGTGCTAGCACCTGGCTGCTGCTGCCTTCCATTTCCCTCCACTGCCCAGTTGCTGGGTGGCATGGGTGAAACCCCCCTCTTCCAAATACCGCCAACCCCTCCAGCTCTGCAGACCAGATCCAGTGGCTCCATGGGCTGGATCTGGCTGCCACCCCCTGCATTAGGTGTTGAAGATTGCACCATATATCTCTACAAAGGTGGTTTCCCCTAGATTTATGGCCAGGCTTGGATTTGACCGTATAGCTTGGCTTTTAGTAAGTGCAGCTCTCTCCACAGTGGTAATGTAAGCACATGGAGGGCATTTACACAGATACACACACATACACAGGCACACTTAGGACTGGACTACGCAGCCGCACAAGACAGCAAAATCCCTGTTACTCGCCTTGGACTTTGCGTTTGGGCATAGAGAAAATAAGCAGGATTATAAACCCATCTGCTTCTCCATTGAATTAGATGAAAATGGAGTGAAGATGTCTTGTCCCCCCCAACCCCCAGCATCACACTCAGCTTCCTTGGTGACAGCTGTGGTTGAGGAAAGGTTTGTGTCACTGGCCAGCTGAAAGGACTGTTTTTTTTCCAGGGGATGAGCCTGAGTAATTATCAGAACTCTGCGGCTAGGTACAGACAGTCAAAAAGCCCGAGGCTGAGTCAATTCAGTCTTTGCAGGTTAGTCTAAGCTGCAGGCATTAAATTGAAACAGAAGTAAACGGGCATGTACCTTTGATGCAGGTAATGCAGCCACATGCCTGCAGTGGCTCAGGCTAGGAGCGGGAGGCACTACAGCACAGCTTTCTGGCTGTGTTCATTTCCTCTTCCTGCTGCCCCTGAGGTCTCTGGGATTTGCAGTCCAGAATTACAGCAGCAGGACCCTGGAGGGTTGCCCATCACTTTCTCTTCCTGCTTCTGGGTGCCTCTGGGATTTGTAGTCCAGCAGAAAGTTTGAGCAGGGAAAAGGGTGTTTAACCCCCCTGCCCAGCCCCAGTCTCCCGCGGGGGTTTGCCTAGGTTGGGGCAGTCTCGCCCTGTAGACTGGGCTGCATCCCCAGCTGGGCTTGTACCCACCCCCCTTGTCAGCCACATACGAAGCAGTGGGGCAGGGGCAGGGCCAGCCTTGCTCTCTGAAGCAGACAGCACAGTTCAGTCCAGGGCTGTAAAGCATGCTGGGATGCTGGGGGACTGTGATTTAACTTGAACCAGGAAGGGGTCTGGGACAGAAGTTTCATAAACGGGTTTGGCCCAAATCAGTGAAGTCTGATGCTACGTTCGACCAGATTTATCTTAAGCCAGTTTCAGCCATTTTGAAACTGGTTTGTGTGCACTGAATTTCTGTTCTGTCACAGGTTTAAACCAGTTTCTGATCACTTCAACTGATTTATGTGTAGCTTCTGTGCCTAGCCTGCATGTTTAGTGATGGAGCATGACAGTCTGAATAGATATGCGCACACGGGTATTGGGAGACCGACTGGCCCTGTCAGAGTTTAGCTTTTGTCTTCACCCACTGCTCCTCTAATGGCTTCTAGCACTATGCCAGGGAAGCACTCAGTTTGGAAAACTTTCCCAGGCAATGTTAGGTGAGCTAGCATCTCCAAGGCACCTTCTAAGGCAACACTCTCCTCCTCCATCTCCTCCACTGCTCCAGTACCTCTTCCTTGCCCATCGATTTCAATTTACAAAGCCAAGAACTTTAGAGCAGGTCATTATTGCATTCCCATTTGATAGTTTACAGGACTGAAGCTATAAAAATTGTGCCTCTTGAATATATCCGGCGAGCGATGATTTTTATCCGTTTGAAATGCCTCTACTTCATTTCCACTTTAATTTATATTCATAAACTCCAGGATAGCTGACATTGTATGTGGGGCTTGCCTGCGCCTTCCAATATTTTATATACTGGATACCAAGCTGAGAGGGGAAGACGAGGGCAGGGTGCTATGGATGGTTCTGCATTGAAGGCTGAATCTCGTAATTGGGTAGAAGGATCCTTTTTGTTTAGGTATGAAAATTCCCCCTCAAACCTTCCCTTTTGTATAAAGGGGGGCCATCTCATACAATAGGACAGTTAAGAACTCCCTCTTGGCAGGAACTCATCTCCTACCCAATATTACATATGACTTTGGAAGGTCTTACACAGCATCCAAATTGCATCCTTACCGCCCCCCGCCGCCACGAGCAGGCTGCTCCCTTTGCACGTGAGTCTGGGGAAAAGGATGTGATCAAACCTCAGGTGCGTGGGGGCAGGAGGGCTGGCTGCAGGTCACAGGTTCCCTGCCTCAGTGCAGGGTAGATCAGCCCTTGGTCTGCTTCAAGTTGCTTCCAGCAACCATCCAGCTCCCTCTCCGGTCCCAAACACCCTGGAAGCTGCAGGCAGGGAGTTTTGTCATTGCAGAGAAACTTTTGTCATCCTCAGCTGGGAACTTGCCCAAGATGTCTGGTCCCTTTGTGCCACTTCGCCTATACAGAGTGGGTGGGAGCAGCAAATCTGTCTCTCACTGTTCTGCAAAGCTGCCCACTTAGTTTGCACGGTAAAGGCACAAGGGTGCTGCGTGCCATCCGAGTGCTTCGTTTTTAAACCAGCCGTGTGAATTTAGTGGCTTTCTCCAGCAAATTCCCTGCCCAGGTGAACAGGGAGATAAGGGGGCAATGGCTGTGTACTACCTAGTGGTTTCCTTACCCATGTTAAACCCAGCTGGACTGGATCTTCATTATCCTTGATCCTCATGCTGCCCTTTTTATGTCAAGTGGGACTTTTGCTGTTCATTTGAGCAAGGATAAGGCTGATCAATGCGTCACACAGTATCCCATAAGACCAAGTGGACATCAGGAGCCAGGTGCAGTCTGAAGCTGGAAGCTCCCTCTCTTGCTTTTTCTCTCTTTGGTTTCAGGAGTCCAGCAGCCCTGGGAGGTAGTTGTGCCTTTGCACCCTTTCTTAAGGCCCTGAGGCAGCTAGGAAAGAGTGTGAAGGCACGTGTGAGTGTGAGTGACATGTTGATCATCCTTATCCTTGCTCACACTAACAGTGGGCCATCCTTTTCCCCCTATTTAAAGATAGGCACTATGTTAGCCCTTCTCCAGTCCCCTGGGACCAGCCTTATTTTGACTTGCATTTAGCTGCCCAGGAAAGGTTTAAAACGAGCTGCTCTGCTCTGAAAGTGAACTTGGTTCAGAAACTGATTCAAATGAAACCAGTGCAGCTTCTGGAAGTCGACGGGACCTGCAGTCCTGGGGTCTCATGTCCGCTGTCATTCAGTTGTTTGTGCCAAAGATTGCTGAGGGTTTAGGGCCAGAAGGGACCGTCCGATCATCTAATCCGACTCCCGTTCGCACATGCCACTAAATTTAATCCAGTAACTTGTCTCAGACTGAGTACTCAGGAAATTATGCACCGCAAGCAGAGAACAAGAGACCAAGATGCTGAGGTCTCAGCAGTGGCACAGAATTGATTGGGCGGGATGTGCTTCGGTGATACCAGGAGGTCATAGTCATCTGAGTGTTCAGTTTTTAAACCAGCCATGTTTTTAAACCACTCCATGCTGCAAAGGAACGTGAGCCTTTCCTCCTGGGACACCTGGAAAAAACATGCCTTCCTCGCTGCAAATCTGTTGATTAACTATGCCCGGCACATGAGAGCGAGTCTCTCTAGTCAAGCATCTAAGAGCCTGGTTGCATGGTATATATAGCTAGCGTTTCATTTAACATGCAGTAAGCATTACTGTGCTGTATTAAAGGTTAGAGCATGTTCTAAGCAGTTGCACGATAATATTTACTATGATTTCAGCCCATTCTGGATAGGGTTGGAGCCAGCTGTGCCCCCTTCCCCAACACTGACCTCGACACTGGGCACCGCAGCTCACACACCCACCTGGGAGGACATGCAACCCCCATACCCGGCACCTGTGCCCTCCCTGCACATGCCCAGCACTGCCTAGTCCACTAGTGCCTCCTTTGGCATGTGTGGGAGAGCTGGGTCTCTGCTACTGGCAGTCTTGCTCCTGTTGGTCCAAGCCAACCTGTGTTGGCAGCCAGTTCAAGACTCCAGTCTGATGCTGGAGCTGGGACCCACAATCAGGTGATTGTCAGGCCCATGCTGGCACCGCATTGCGATCTTGAACTCGTATTATCTCTGTGCAGCAGGCCAACGACAGCTGAAGATATTTTAATGCGCTCTGGAAATATTCCTCCCACAAAAAGTCATAACTTTGCTAGCACAGGATTCCACTTTGCATGTGTTTTACAGCTTGAACTCATGGACACTCGTGCTTTAAGTGCAGCCAACATATCCTAAGTATGATGTGCGACACGACCTAGAGAACTCCCTGGACCACACCAGAGAGCTCGTCCACCTCTTTCAGTCCTTGGTGTTTTTCCCCTTTCCCTGTATGCAATGAATGCCAGCAGCCTCTGGAAGCAAATCCTAACTAAGCCTCAGTCTTGCTCTTCCTCAGCAGACACGTGGCCAGCACTTCTCAATGCAGCCACTGCCAAGGAAGACGCATGTTGGTCACCTCACATGCAACAGTGCACGCAACAGGCTTTTGGACAAGGGACGGGGGAATAACCTCTACTCACACCTGTTAACATGCAGGTTGTTCTGGCAACTGCTGATGATATACATGGGATTGGATCTGGCCCAGCTCTGGGTCTTCCAGAAAGAGGCAAGGCTTGTTTGGTGGCTGGTGAGAGTTGTGTTCATGCTAATAAGGTGAAGGCAAGAGGTAGGATGGAGTGCGACATAATATCACTTTTATCAGCCAGGGTCCTAACTACAGTATTTTCTGTTGCAGGGTGATCTGCAAAGGACAAATATTCAGCTAGATTTTGGAGATGGCATCGCTGTGTCCTATGCAAACTTCAGCCCGATAGAAGATGGCATCAGGCATGTTTATAAGAGTGCTGGGATCTTCCAGGTGACGGCATATGCAGAAAACAGCCTGGGCTCTGACACTGCTGTCCTCTTCCTACATGTGGTCTGTAAGTAGATGAGGGTGCTAAATACTAGGAGTGAAATTTGTACCTCCATTGACATCAATGGCAAAGCTCCCATTGGCTTCAGCAGGGTCAAGATTTCACCCTAGGATCTATCTCAGTCGTGCTGAGCCCAGAGTTGTCTGCAGTATCCACTTATCCACTTGTAAGGCGAACCCAACTGAATTCTTTTAACTGGTGTTCAAAAAATCAGGTCTATTTCTCTCTTTTTTTTTCAACGCCACAACATCGTTCCTTCCCCATTTTTGCCTTTGGCCAGCCCTGACAATAATGAAACGCCATGGGATTGACTTATTCCAGCTTCATTTCCATATAGCGCACGAGAGAAACTTGGGCCCATGAATTTCAAATCTATGAAACCTATGAAATTTTCCAGGTCGACTTCTGGGGGGGGCGGAAAAACCAAACTTCTGGAGGAGCACTGTAAGTGCCCAGAAATAAACACTACCTTTTGCGTCTTATTGCCATTATGAAATATTTGCATGCAAATAAGTCGCGAGAAATAATTAACCAGTGTTCCCATGCGTTTTTGTTTTTTTTTTTATTGCAAGTCTCATGCCTGCAGCTGGCTGGGAGTTTTCCATCAAAACAATTTTTCAACATAAAATGCAGTTTCCACACAATCACGTTTTTCTGTATCTGGCTTATTTGTTTATTTTTGCTTTTGGATTTTTCTTCTGGGAAAACTGGAA